ATAGTCAACTGTTACCTTCCCTACCGTAGCCGTTGCCTTCCCTTGTTGCCTTTCTACCATCCAACCCCCCCATACTCACCACCCTTGACCCGAGTCATAATTGAGTTTGTGTTGTGTCTTTTTGTTATTTCCTATTTTCGAGTGTATATGATTGTAATTTCTATTTTTTTCTCAGTAATAAAAGTTGTATTGTCGTTGTCATTTGGGTTAACTCCGATATCATTTGGTATCAAAACTAGCTTAACCCTATTTTTATCCTAGGGTTATCTAAATCCATTAATACCCAACCTAATCTCCATCCAAAACTCATCCCTTAGCAGATTTTTCAAACCGAACACCCAAAAATTTTACCCAAACCTAAGTCCTAAGCACGCCATCGAAGAGACAATAATTGGAAACCCGGTCGAGACAAAATGATACAATGCCGCTTAAAAATCCACAAAGAGGTCCAAGAAATTTGTATGGAGGATATATAGTGAGAAATCCTCTCATGGTAATGGAGGCATGCTGCGCTTGAGAGGATACCATGCAAATGGGTCACACCAACTCCATTCGATTTCAGAAACAAAGAACCACCATCCCGAAATTTTAGCATGAAATTTTGGAAAAGTCAGGATTTTGAAGTAACAGTGATGAAACCGACATTAACCTGAAATGCACCGAAACACAAATAGTACTGTTGAATTGCAAAAGGAGATTACAACGAGACTATTGAAAATAAACAAAACAACAAATGACACAAAAAATCCACAAGGGCAAAGACAACAAGGGTGGGAGGTGATGATAACAGAGGTGGTGCAGGAAGGGGGAAGGGGGAAGGGGGAAAATGGGTTGCTGGTTAGGGAAACAAGGGGGGTTGGAGTAGCAGGTGGGTTCGCCAAGAGGGATTGGTAGTGGTAGAGGGGTTGCTAAAGGGTTAATGGCAGTAGGTGGGTTGCAGGCGTGGTTGGAGGAGCAGGTAGGTTTGCTAAGAGGGCTGGCGACAGCTGGAGTGGATGCAGGAGGGGTGGGGACAAGTGGATACAAGTGGGGGTGTTGAGAGGGACTGGTGGCAGCTATAGTGCGTACTGAAGAGGCTAGCGACAACAGAAACGACGAAGGAGGGCGAACGACAACAAGGAAAGCACATGAACGAATGACATCTAGCATGGGGGGAGTAGCAACAAGCAAGAACATGACAGATACACGCCACCTTGGATGAGGGGTGGGGACGGCAAGTGGGGGTGTCGAGAGGGATTGGTGGCAGCTATAGTGCGTACAGAAGAGGCTGGCGACAGCAGGAACAACAAAGGAGGGGGACGACAACAAGGGGAGCACATGAACAAATGACAACTAGCATGGGGGGAATATCAACAAGCAAAAACATGACCGATACACACAATCTCCGATGATTTATAATCGAAATACCTTCTGACCATAAGAGACAATCTTAGGAAGGGAGAAACGCCCGGAGGTGCAAATATGAAAATAGAATACATCAAAAACTAAACCCGAAAACAACAGTAGCATATATTCATAATAGGTGAAATAGGGGGAGGGGGAAAGCGGCATATCCCACCCATTATCCTCAACCGACCGGTTCAGCCTCTTTGCTGAACCAAAATCCTTGCTGAACCCATCGGTTCAACCCAAAATCCCTTGTGTCAGGTGTATGCGTTATATTTTGATGGCCATAAGGATTCAAACGAGCTCATCGAGTGTCTTTGGACATTAGAATGTCTTTGAGTGTCAGGACTTTCGATTGGACAGAATGGTGAAACTAACTGTCAAAAAGTTATGAAATAGTGCAACTCAATGATGGGAGAACTTGAAAGTTCTTCGACAGCGAGAGGAGAAGAGTAAAATTACTACTTGGTTTAAAGATGAAATGAGAGATGCAGTGCTAGTATATACCAGTGCTTTATACACAAGATGTTCAGACTCCAGCTTCAAAAGTAGATAAACAACCTCTCCGGGTGACGCATTTAACTCTAGGATCAATCAACAAGAATAAAGCATTCAAGATGACACCTCTTGAGGAAAAACTAGCTCAAAGTGGAGAATTGGTGAAACCATCCAACATTCCTAAATCCATCATAGTTAGGAAGTTTTTCAAGTGCCACAAATTTGGACATATTGAATCAGATTGCACAACCAGGGTAATGATCCATTTAGCTAAGCATGAAGTTGTTGAAGAAATGAATAATGACACGATAGACATTAAAGAAAGTGATGACACAAAAAGTACTTGATTTCGACTGATGAGAAGGACAAATGCACGTAGTTCAAGCTGAGCCCATGAGAGTGACTCCAATAAAATCAACATTGGTTGTTCAAGACAACCATGCGTTCGAGGAACCGACAATAGACACCTGACAACCCCAGATGAGAGAAGTTTAGGCCTTTCAAATAGATAGTCTCCCAGAGTTGCCTCTATTGAAGGAGCTCCAAAATATTAGAGATGAGGAGCTTTTGCGCTACTTTTGAAAAACTATATAGAGTTATTTGTGCATTAAAATCAATAGTGTATCCACTGATAGATGATCAAACATGATGGATGAACCATTATGCTGAAAATCACCTTAGGATCTTTATGGGAAAAAAACATTTTACAATGGGATCTAGATCCTACTAGAGAAGAAGAGATCTCTCCTTAGTGGTTACTATTGAGAATTGCCCAACCTACAATAGATGTCATCTTATAGTTGAGTCCTTACATATTTTTGAGATGCACTCAGACGATATTGTGAAAGTAAAATAACAAAAATGTTTACAAATGGAGAACATGATGAAAAAAATTATTGTGGAAACCTCTTTTATAGGGTGAGAGATTGCAATAATAAATAGGATAAATGTCTAAAAAGTAAGACCAAAGCTATTAAGTCACCATTCAAATCAAAGTGTCAAGTCCAAATCTTTTCATTTAATCGAGAGATATCTTGATTATAGATTATTCGATCCGAGCACAATACACAATCACATACAAATACAATGAACATTTCTAGATTGAAGTTGCTTTCGCTAAACTCTCTAGCAGCTTTGAATTGAGCCAAACAACTAAACTCAGCTTGGTCTTGAAGACACCTATCGTTTATATTGGCCAACTTATTACGTTGGTCGTAGAAAGATCTCAACTTAACAACTTCATGCTTCAACTTGGCCATTTGTCGCATGAGCTTGACCTAATCAGCAGCCAGAGCGCTCTGAGAGAATCTTGCAACAAGTCCTCTCTTATCTTGTTGAAGTAGGGTGGGTGCTTTAACCACATGATCCTTTAGCTCTTATCCACAATCTACATCTTGTTCTTATTTTAAATTGCCGAGCGAACTTCCCGGGGGATTTGTTGATTGGCTTCTTTTTTCAATCAGTTCATCCTTCCCTTTAGGAGGATCCAACGCCACATTCAAGTTTGCAAGGATCTTATGGACGAGTTCATTAAAACTAAAAAAAAAATATTATAAACAAAAGGGAGATTAAAAATGATACGATATTTATTTGATGTTCACTTATTTTAATATATAGATTTATATGCAATCTCACTCACTCTCACATTGAAGTAGTAAAGATGTAGAAATTTCACTGGCTTTGCCAACACCACCAGACACGAGTAAGCCCTTAGGCAACTTCTTAGCGAGACCTTAGATCTGAGGAATCAGGTCCTTAGAAAGATTACCTCCTGACAAGTTCAGCCGATGAAAATAGTTCTTGAAGGGACGTGTAGAGAGCCCTCCCCTTGAGCAGAGGCTAAACCTTCCTTCACTTCTTTCTTCTTCTTCATGGAGCTGACTTCCAGCTGATGCTTCTTAAACAATCCCTCCAACAGTTTGGTTGTGGAAATATCTGTATGCGCTTCAGTGATATTTTCCATCCAAATTTCTTGTGGTTATGAAGATGCTAAGTCCCAATTACAAAGACAAGAACATTAACAACAAAGTAGGGATGAACCTGATGACAACCTATTGCCTTAGTTATAAGGGTTGAAGAGTTCAGACTCTTAAGCGAATAATCATGTCATAAATAACATTAAATATATCCATGATTCAATGTTTTTATTCTTTTCATGGCATTACTTTTTAAGAGAGTGAAGAATTAAAAAAACTAAATATGTATGATTAAAACTCATCATTTTAGGCAAGCAAGTGTTTAAACAAGTTTCATGGGTCTTTTGGACAAATTTATCAGAGACAAAGTACGAGTAGCTTAGTACGAGCAATTGAGATACTAGAGACTAGGATTAGTATTCGAGTAGGAGTAGCTGGATATGAGCAATCACCCAATGAATGTCTTTCCTGTAAGGCAAATCAGAGAATGATTCACCCGACAATCCCATTTTATTACTAAGGATAGTACTATCATCCTTAATCATATCGCAAAACTAGAGCTTATTCGATTTCAGGGCGAGTTAGCCTTAGAGTGAGCTTTAAGACAGAGGGCCAAACAGACATTGGGATGTGACCTGACGAAGTGTGCAGAGGATATAAGGTCAAATGCGGCGTCGACGGAAGATAACATGCCAGAGATAATGTATTATATATGCCTGAGGTAGAACACGACAAACTCAAGCAGCGAGAGATCTAAGTATAATAATTTTTTATATATATTTTATAAAAAATATCCCTATATAAAGGGTGAGAATTAATGTAAAACGAATGGACCGTTGAACTGTTACCTTGAGCAATAATACAACATTCCTCAACAATTTCTTCTCTACCCCCTTCTTTTATTAGTTCTTCCCTTAAGGTGCGAGTTCACAGACACATAAAGCATTAATATTTTAGAGCTAAATCTTTTAGTGCATCGGTATTCTTAATTATATTTTTTTCAGCACAGCGGCTGTTGTGGTCTGCATTTGAGGGCTGTTCATTTGTAAGCTTAAAGTCATATTTTATTACTTATTAGTGTTGAATATCTTAGAGGGCACAGTACTTTGCTGTTTGTTTATTAGATGCATCAGTGTACTCGAGTTTATGGCGTTGGTATTGAAGTCCTCTTTAAACTGACCTTCTTTTTCGTTTTGATAGAGACGATATATGTTAGAATTTTTGAAGATCGGATGGACATTCTTCGTGCTGTCATCATTGGACCCGCTGGGACACCTTATCATGATGGTCTCTTCTTTTTTGACATTTACTTTCCCCCAACCTTTCCCTTGGTACCCCCGGTATGGTTTCATTTAAACTTTTCATTCAAGTGCTCTGTAATGATTTTCTTTTACATGCATTTACATTAAATTTCTATTTTTTTATATATTTAATACCTAAACATCAATTTTTACATTCATGCCACCTTATCTATGCATGAAATGGTGTATTTAATTTTGTTGAAGTTAAAATGGTGGTATTTTTTGTGTTATAGAAGATTTGGGTGGTATAAGTATTAGAAGTAAAGTTTTAGGCATTAGCTATGTAATACATAGGAATTGAGTGGTATGTATGCGTGGCTCATGATTTGTTTTTGTGTTTTGAAATACTGAAATATCATTCAGATGGTTCACTATCATTCCGGAGGGCTTCGTTTGAATCCCAACTTATATCAATGTGGAAAAGTTTGCCTAAGCCTTCTTAATACCTGGCCTGGCCAAGGCTGTGAGACCTGGAATTCATCCAACTCGACCATTCTCCAGGTTTTAGTCTCCATCCAAGCCTTAGTTTTGAATGCCAAGCCCTATTTCAATGAGCCCGGCTTTGAGCTGTCAGTTAATACACCTTATGGAAGGAAGGAATCACTAGCTTACAATGAGACGGCATTCATTTTGTCCTGCAAGACGATGTTGTATTCTCTACGGAAGGCCCCAAAGGTTAGTGTTATTTACCTTTTTTTTTTAGGAAGATTTACATACCACACGATTCTTATGTATTTACATATCTAATTCCTAAACATCAATATTTACATATATGTCATCTTACCTTTAAGCTTAAAATATTGGTATTTTTATGTGATACGGAAAATTTAGGCGGTATAAATGTTAAAATCAAAGTTTAGGCATTAGATATTTAAATACGTAAGAATTCGTTGATACATATGTAAATGCCTTCTTCTTACCAAGCTTTCTGCTTCTTTTATTACTTCCCTGATTTGAACAGAAAATGAAAAAAAAACCATCTTTTATAACATAGCTTTTCTTGATTCTAGTCAATAGTGATTCTTCCTTGTCATGGTATCGTTTTACTGACTGATTGCATAATAATAAAATTAAGGGATTCTTATTGAATTCATTTTGTTTCTTGTGTTTTTTCCATATTTTTATTTTTTTGTTTCTAAAAAAATTTAACATGTTTCTGAAAAAAAATTCAACACTTTATAGTTATTTTGTGTGTTTTAAAAATAACAATGCTTTAATCAAATAAACAATATGTTTTGTTTCAAATCAGAGCATAAATGCTAAAATATCTTTTTTAACAGAGTTATTTTGAGTGTTTTAAAAAAAAACAATGCATTAATTAAATAAACAACTTGTTTTGTTTCAATTCAGAACATAAAAGTTGAAGCATCTAATTTGAACACAAAATGTTAAAAAACCATCTTTTATAACAGAGCTTTTCTTGAATCTAGTCAAGTAGTAACTTCTTCCTCCCATGGTATCATTTTACTAACTGATTGCATAATAATAAAATTGAGGGATTCTTATTTCCATATTGAATTCACTTTGTTTAGTGTGTTTTTTTCATATTTTTCTTTTTTGTTTCTAAAAAAAATATGTTTTTGAAAAAAAATCAACACTCAAAAGTTATTTTGAGTGTTTTAAAAAGAACAATGCTTTAATCAAATAAATAAAAATGAAACATGTTTTGGTTCAATTCAGAACATTAATAAATAAAAATAAAAAAATAGAAAATAATAATAATAAAAAAACGTGATCCCAAACTTAGGGATTCTTATTTTTAAATATGTAAAAAATACACCAAATAATAGATTTTTAAAAATATAGCAAATATAAAAAAAAACAAAAAGATCCCAGTCAAGCCCTAATTGATTGCATAATAATAAAACAGAGGGATTCTTATTTTTGTGGTGAAATCATTTTTCATTCTAACGCATACTAGTTTGGTAATTTGCTGAGAGTCAATTAAGATAGCGTGTTAATATTGTATCAGTGCAGGTGTTGCAGGTTGATTAGCTACCTAGAATTAGCAAGAAATTTATGAGCATCTGTGATTATTATTTATTCTGTAAAACTAATAAAAACGTGATTTTTTTGCCATAATGTGGTTATGTTTTACACCCTAGGACATCATCTTGAACTTGCTATCATGAGTACTTTAATATTATATTTTTAAATTGTTTACTGATTACATCCCCACTAAGAGACATTCTGTTTAGTTTTTTAGAATAATTTTTTTTTTTTTAACTTTTACCTTCAATCCCTCATATATTATATTAAAAATGAAAAGGTTATAACATTCTTCTCCTCAGCCTTCAACACCCTCTTTTTCCCTCTCCCACACCAAACGACTTGTTGCACCTCTTGAGCTCCGCAACTCTTCTTCTTCTGTCTTCTCTTTTCTCTCCGTCTCTCACACTCTCTCTCCCTTTCTTTATCCTTCTCAGATTTTGCTCATAACCGTACTGCTGACAACACAAGTTATAAAGGAGCAATCTCACTGCCCTGCATGACCCCTATTAACATCTGTGTGCGATGGAGTTTAATTTTACTTTTATGCAAGCTGCTTTTATGTAGGGAACTCCTCAGTATGTGTATACATGCCTTTCTTAGAGTCATGGATGCAAATGTTGCTTGTTTTTATCAAAATTTACTAAGAAATTAGACAAAAATGTTGTCATGATAATAATAATGCATTGCCATTGCACAATACAAAACTCAAAAATGCTTGAATGAGGCCAATATAACATTGTAAAGTATACTAACAAGCAAAATAATTTTAAAATAATATTGAACTCGGTGAACTTTAGTGGCGCATAACTAGCGCATGCAAGAACTCTGCAATGCGTATGAGCACAAAACAAACTTGCAAGCTTACCCTATAAAAAATACTAAAGTGCCAATTTGCAAAATCGTGCACATATTTCAATAGAGCTAGCGCATGCAAGAACTCTGCAATGCGTATGAGCAAAAAACAAACTTGCAAGCTTACCCTAAAAAAATACTAAAGTGCCAATTTGCAAAATAGTGCACATATTTCAATAGAGATTTAGATACAAATGAGAACTTGAAAATTGGGCTAAAATAGTTCTAATACTTTGGGCGTGCAAAGGCAAATTTTCACTCATATCATACAACAAAGTTGATTCGAGTTCATAGAGCTGCACAATGTATTTTGGCCAATTTTAGTTTTTAAGACTTTATATCCCAACTTTAAACCCTATCGTCGATAGGTGATTAGTTGAGTCAATGAGTTTCAAGGCACCATGATTTCCATAAAAGACTAAAATTAATTTTGTCTACTCTCCATGAAGGGCGTAACAATTTCATTTCATAATTGGGAGTTCCCAATAAATATAGGCCTCTCATGATAAATCAAGAAAATTACCTCAAGTTTTTCTCGGATGATAAATTCAATTGTTTGAATATCATTAACGAAGCAGATAACTCGCCACAAAAATTTTCGTTTCAAATTCAAAGATAAATATAATTGAGATTCTTTTCTCGGTTATGGACATATATTGAAATGAACTCCATTTAGATCCCGCCTCTTACATCATATAATATTGCTAAAAATCATCTTATGAACGATCGACTTAACTCTCAGAGGTATCATGGATCCATCAGCTGCATTGGTTTATCAGGGATGAGATTCAAGTTAGTTCAAGGCTTAAAATTAGTCAATTTCATATCAAGTTTATTCATGAGATAATACTAATAAATTCTATGACAGTAAGGAGGTAGCTTTTGACCTCTGTGAGGTTGTGATTGCATCATTATAATGTAATTAAAGTTCAGCTGTTTACGTTCGCAGTAGATAAGCTTATGAGTTGTGAATTATAACTTGTGCTAGATAAAGCATGAAACCCACTTTTAGCTTAGGTTGTGGCCTTAATTTTGGTTCATTCAGCAAGCTTTTCTCTTAAGTACATTGTGGTCTCTTTGGACGATATAATTAGTAGTTGCTAATAATGATTCTTTAATCATCTTTACATATTGGTAAACCAAAATTCATAAACTTGGGTTGATTAAATCATGGGATTTTGTCATCATTCTCCCACAATTCTGATACCGCTGACAAGACAAGGAATAAGAGGGCAACTGAAAATTCATTTTATTTTAGATAAAAAAAATATAAGACTATGAACTTACTCTGATACCGCTTACAAGACAAAACATAAGAGGGCAACTGAAAATTTAGTTTTATTTCAATTAAAAAAATATAAAACTGTGAACTATTTAAGTCATACAATTTGAGCAAAACCCAGGTAATTAGAAGAAAAAAACAAATGGACATTCCCAAACAAACTTCTTTTACTTAAAAAGATAGAACTGAGGATCTTGATCTTGGTGTTTGGATCAGGCATTTCGATGTGTTAAACAATTCTGCAACTGGTAGACTATAGGATCAATCGTGCAAGCAATTTAGCTCAATTCGGCAAGCAAATTTGAGTCACCTTGGTTGATCGTTCTAGTTCTTGTCCGCAGAAGAGTGATGTGATCTGCATGAAAACCCAAATACTTCAAAACAGTGAAGCTTTCAAATGAAACTAATAGGTTATAATGATAAAAGTAGAGTTTGCAGAATAGAGAATCTGCTTAAGCAATCTTCCTGCTGCAAATTTGAATTTTTCTGTGCAAACGACAAGTAATTTCTCCAAATGACAATCCACAAGGCTTCGGACTTTTGTTCTGGATACTGGGAAGAGTGCAAAAGCCACTCTTTTTTTTATTTGTAAAATTGCCCTTTTTATATTAATTGTAATTATTATTGTGTCACATCGGCTCTAAGTGTGTATAAATCTAAATTTCTGCTAAGTTAAAAAGTATAATGGAGAGCTTAGAGGCTAGCCCTAATAAAAAAATTTCTCTTGCATTGGGAATTTATGCTTATGGGAAGTTTAGAATCTTAATAAAATTTTTGCATGAGTGCAACATTTCTATATTTTATCTGATATTCAATCCAATTTGATCCCAGTTCAACAATCTACTGAAAGGCAACATTTCTATATTTTATCTGATATTCAATCCAAATCACTCAATTATCAACAATGCCATAGTTGATCCCAGTTCAACAATCTACTGAAAGCATTTGCTGAAATCCTTGAGATGAGTCACCATAATTTACTATTTGAAATTTAAAATTTTTGCCTAATATAATTTTTTCTTTCATTGCGTGACTAAATGTTTATTAGTAACACAACAAATTGCCACATTACTATTCTGCTTGGAGCTCATCATTTTTGAGAATATTATTGAACAATTTTCCAAAGTCCATTTTAAATTTTAGCTATCAGGTAGCCTCTCTACGGTCACTCTCACTATGTTTTGCAGCATTTTGAGGAGTTTGTTGCGGGACATTTCCGCAGCAAAGGCAGCGAAATCCTTGAAGCATGCATAGCATACATGAAAGGCGCTCAGGTCGGGTGTGTCTTCGTAAATGGGGTTCGAGATGTCGACAGTAGCGACAAGAGCAGCTCGTCGGCATTCAAGGAGAATCTGAGCACAATTTATGACCAACTGGTGATGGAGTTCACTGGCAAGGGAACTCTTAGTGATAAACTCTCATGAAATTGGCTGCAAAAGCAGCAGATATTGGGAATCACTGAAGCCACAATACAAGTTTGGAGATATAATATAGAAGCAGGTGAAGGAATTACTTTGTTTTTGTTGGCCTGTTTATAGATTGTTTTCAAACTAAGCAGTTACTTGGCATAAGTTAATTAGTTGGTGTCAATATCTCTAGAAATGTAGGGTCTGGTGATGATTAAAATGTGCAGGGGTTGTTCATGGTTTTAAATGATGGTAGTTTTGTTGCTCCTCTTTTTTTTGGAACTTGGCTTCATTTCATTTACCTACTTTCTTCAACTGTGGAAGTAGGGTTGCAAGGTCAATATTTATATTTGGAATCTTGGCATTGTCTTATCAAATATAATTCATTATAGGGAGATTTACATACATACCATACAATTTGTATTTATTTGTCTAACGTCTAAAGTTTATTATTTACATTTATAATTTCAGTTGGGGTGAGCATGCTAACTTATTATTTTCAAC